GGCTCCGCAAGCATCTCAAGCTCCCAGCACAGGGAGGCCCATCCTGTGTTCTCTCCTGCATACCAGTGTCCGGAAGAGGACCTGGTACTGACCAGACAACCGCCCTACAAATTAGCGGATCAATCAATCAAAAGCAAGGGCCGGGCGTGGTGGCGCACGCCTGTAATCCCAGCACTCGGGAGGCTGAGGCAGGAGGATCGCTGTGAGTTCGAGGCCAGCCTGGACTACAAAGTGAACTCAAGGCCAGCGTGAACTGCATAGTGAGACCCTATCTCAAAAAGACAAAAAATCAAAAGCAAGGGAAGGTAAACTACAGGTCTTTTACACAAGCATTTACACTGTCCCTTACATCTTTTTTAAAAACTGCTTTCACGGCAGAACACGAATTCCAAATAGACTTGCTGAAAAAACTTAACCCTTTCTTCAGTGCTCAGAGCTCAGTTTAACCTTCTTCCTGTTCCCTACCATTTTTCTTCCAGTGAATATGACACAGGAGAAGTCTGAGTCACATTACAAAGTCAGTGACAGGAACTGCCAGAACAAGGAAGTGTGTCAACATCACAATCCAAGCTAGAAAGCAGTCCCCAAGTCAAGTGATTCAACTATAAGTTTTCCTTCCTGCTGGCAGATAAAATAATGCACTTGATTTGGAAGAAACACCACCATCCACCACACTGCTGTGTTTAACCTCTAAGTCTGGCTCACTTATTTCACTCCCAGACAAGACTGGCTGCATCAGGCCAGGCCTGTGTTGCCCCTGACAGCCTCATGATCTCCACTGTCTGTGGGATTCATGCTCCTGATGTCAGCTGTGAATATACTAAACTTCACCTTACAGGGCAATCATCATTTGGCCACAGGCTCCTCCTCAGTCACCGACTTCTTGCTGCCACAAGGAAGAAAAGGCACCCAGAGATTACTACTTATCTGGACAACCCTGCACTTTATTTAGTCTGGCTATCTGACCAAGATTTAAAGATAAAACCCAAGTTGTAGCTTCTCTAGAGCAGATAGGTAATTTACGTTACTGAACAGAGAAAACATTTTCTTGCCCTCATATCAACATTACTAAGTCACTCTTGTCACATCATTGGGGAAACGTCAGTGTATTCGGGATCTGACTGGACTCCAAACCTGACCTAAGAGCCTTCCTCCCCTTCATCTCCTCTGTATTCTCCAAAGTCCTGCTGTGGGCCCGCTCCTTTGCAGGCACTCTCCACCCTTCCATTCACAAGCTCTTCTCCCTTCTCACACTGGCTCTCTCACACCCGAACTCCCCTTCCCCGTCCCCTGTGTACATGCCTTTCCCCCACAAGCCTGGGACTCCACAGAACTGACACATCCCCGGGCGCGTGCCTGCCGCACCAGTGTGGAATTTCCACACTTGCACAAATCCCCCTCGAGTGCACTCCCCCCATCAGAACTTGCCCGAGGCAACTGCACCGAGTCCTGTGGCAGCCGTTGAGAGGCAAGCGTCCCTCGTCATCTTTCCTGCTCCCACCTCACCTGGGCCTCACAGACCCGGTGCGCTCCCTCCGCAAAGCCCACCTCCAGACCACACGAAACCTCTCACCGGGCTGCGCTTGGGGAGGTGCTAAGCCTGAGAAACAACACAGGGTGAGGAGGGCTAGAGCACCAACAGCCGCGACTAGACAACGGGGTGAAGCGGGTGAGACCTCGAACAGCGCCGACTGGAGACACCCAGGTGACCCGGGGTGAGACCGAGAACAGCACCGACTGGAGACACCCAGGTGACCCGGGGCGAGACCGCGAACAGCACCCTCTAGAGACACCGGGGCGACCCGGGGTGAGACCGCGAACAGCACCC